TTGTTTCTAAAGGCACCACATCACCAGACTTAACCGGAGTTTTCTTAAAATACGCATTTCTAAGGGGACTTGGCACAAGTCCAACATTTCTTATGCATTCTAATTTAGTTGGTGTAACAAGATCAGATTCAACTCTTTGGTTTTCTGGTAGAATTGGAGTACTGCTAGGTATTAGTGGATCTCTTATCATCCAACTATAATCACTTTGGGGCGACACATTCGTATATTCAAGTGAAACATAGTCTTTTTGCACAAGTTCAGGCTCTGTGTGATCAGAATATGAAGTGCAATTTTCATTAAAATAACCAGTATTTGAATTCATATTAAAGTGTTTGTTACATTTTCTATACTCTTTATAACGGTTAACACTATTTGCAGCGACTTTAATGTGCTTACATATGTCTTTAAAATTTGGCTATTGTAATTTAAGAAATCACTAGACGTATAGTTACAATTTTCAATACATTTTATTATTGTATCATTATTTATTTCTGATGTATTCACTACATCATTACAGTTCATAGTTTTAAAGCACTTATGAAGAGATGAATTTTTTCTATTCATAGCATTCACTATTCCTTTTCTTAACTTGTGATCATTATCATTCTTAAAAATTATATTGCAAATATTAGTTACACAATTGTCAGAAACCGAAACATTGTCAAAATTTAAATCAAGATATTCGGTCGGTCTTAATATAACGAGCTACCTCGTTCAATTTATCTTTTAAACTCATTTTAACAATAATTCGTCAACAAGTCTTAAACTATATCTCTGAGACACTTAAGCTGTCTGTAACTATTTACTTAGACAACTAAAAATACAACTACACCTAAAAATACCTAAAAATAGTTTCAAACACAAAATTGTCTCAGAAATATAGTTTCAGACACAACATTGTCTCAAAGATATTGTGGCAAAATGTCTACGTTTAGGCATACTGACAGTACAGCTGAAACTGAGCTTAACGCACAAAAAACAATTTTGGGTCTAATAACATTTATTATGCGTCGACAGAGCTGTTTTCTTTAAATAAACTGTTTATTTTTATTTAATAAATTAAACCGACATTAACTAGACGTTGCTAGGCGAACACACATTTCTGTTGTTTGAATTTACTCACAGACATGACATAATAAATACTGTTACAATATTATAGATTTGAGAATTGTTGGACACAAATATTATATTGAATTTTCTTCTAATGAGCAACGTTCAACTGTATTTATATAGTTCAATGTATACTCCGTTACGTGGTACATTAATACATAATAACATAGATATCTACTCTTTAACTATATTTCATAATTCATTATATTGTGTCAATGTGTAGTCCACATTATGTCCATATTAGTATAATTTTTAACAAGATATTTCAGACTTTGCAGTGTATTCGCATAATGTATGCTACCGACATGTTGATGATTACCGTTATTAACTTTATGCACTATATTATAGTTTAAAGTAATTTTTAATACATTTCATTCAAACAGTCTATACACACAATACTGTTGTGTGTTATTATTATTGAATTTTCATTTAATGTTAAAAAAATAAGGCAATATATCATACAATTGTGAACAATTTATAATAAATAAAAACAATATATTAATTGATATTCATAGCTATTCTTTTTACCCTAGCTGCATATCTACATTGAGGTATACTGAAGGTTCAGCTGTAACTAAACTCTAACTTCTGTGTCTGTATTAATAACACATACTAATGTCGTGTGCATTTCTTTATTTTTGATAACTAACTTATATAGACATAAATAAAACAATACCTCATAATATGTTTAATAATGTACTCATGTACCCACTATATTGTATAATTGGCTTTTTGTATTTGAATGTATATTAGTGTATACCAGTAGTAATAATCTTTTATTTCTTAACAAAATCTACTGAAAAGGCACTGTAATTACCTTTTATATTACATAGGTATACTATATAATATATATATATATTATGAATTTATAAATGTTTCTTTTTTTAAATTCAATAAATTACACTACATTACTTTGGGTTTTTAGTTTGTACTCGGGAGTCACAAAGTTGTCCTACAGAATAGCTACTCGTTGTCATCATTGGTTGCTCATGTTGGTAGTTAGATATTCAATTGTAGAATAGATTTGAAGTTAAACGTTTATCGACGTCGATCGAATCAGCCTGTATTTACAGCCACTGTTACTATACTACCGAAGTAATCCCCCAATTAAATTTTAATGTAAGGCAAGTAAGGTGAGTAGGTCAGTCAATGTTGTTAACTAATAATATAATAGTATATCGATGTAGTATTAGTCAATTAAGCTTGAAAAATGTGAAATCAGAATTAATAAGTATCGTTAAGTCGAGACCTAGCTTAGAAAGTTAAACACTGTGGATCCAGGGTAGTTTTGAATTTGAATTGTAAGAACCAGTGCATCAAGCGAGTATGATCCCACTGGCCTAATGTATTATGTTCTTTAGGCTTTTGAAAATACTATATTCACTTACAGCTGCCAACCACTGTGTTCGCATACCTGACATGCCGACTCACATTGTCCGCTATCCGACATAGTCGATGACCAAGTTGAAGGTGAATCTATTTCCACTGGACGTGACTGACTTGCTAGACATTAAAATAAATCTTTAAGATTAACGATTTTTGACTTTCATATAAGCACAGGACTGGATCGTATAAAGTATCAAGTATGTCCAATCTCCGATTTCCAATGACGTGAGAGATGTCCAGATATCGGTATTCACCATCAGCGAATAGCACAAAGGCATTCATTACTGACGGAGCGAGTTACACCGAGAGACCAATGCAGGCCCGTATTGTCGGCTATGCGACGCAGTCTGATTGCTACCTTACTTAGATTTCTGAATTGTATTTTAATCGATTTTCACCTTGACGTGACTGACTTGCTAGAAACACAAATACAGTGCTCCGACTCAAGCTTTTGGTTTCGCATTTCAAAAACAAGACTGGATGTATCGAGGCAGTTTATCCGCTAATTTCCAGAGTCTTCAACTCGACATTCAAATGTTCCCGCCTTCGAAACGACACCTTGAGAGCGCCTATCACCTTCTCTGACATTTTCTGGCCCACCTACAAACGCGATTTTTATAGTTTCAACTACTCAGTCTCCGCAATCGGTACCCACTTTCAGCTAACACGGGGGGTGTGGGGGGTCTCCCCCAGCGACTCGAAGAGCTAGTCTTCTCTTATATTATAAAACGCTAAGCAGTTGAGGTTTTACTCCCTAGGTTATTTCTGAGCGCGTCCAATCGAAAAATTAGATTTTCCAATATGTATATGTAGAATATTGAAGATCCAATCGGAACGCCGGCTTTTCGCCGCCGCCGCTGCTATCACGTTTCTGCTATCACGACCGCGGTTTTCTATCGAATATTAGTATTTTTTCGAAATCCGTCAAAATTTTGGGCTTTGTTACCGGGTTTTTTCCAATTTTGACCCTTTTTGGGCTCCGTTTGTATGTAATTCGCGTTCACCGAAAAGTCTTAAGTCCGTGCGTGTTCGGGTTTCTTTCGTATTAAGTCCGCGGCGGTCGCAATCTCGATCGAAAACGATGCCGCTCGCTCGCCATACGTCGCACGTATTTCTCTCTTTTTTCGTTTTTTCTCGAACGGTTTCGCCTTTTCGTACACCGTTTGTGCCCGAATCGCGTAGTTAACTTCTTTTAAAAGACGTACGTGTGCAGTTTTCACTCGAAATCGGTTCGTACGCTGCGCAATCGCGTTAAGAAACCTGACCTCCTATACATGTATATGTACATGTCTAATGCGATATTTGTGAAGAAGTCAACGTATACCATTCAAATTTTGATTATTTCAAACTGTAGAATGTGTGGTAGGTAATTTATTTGATATGATCGTAGTTTATACTGTTATGGACGCACCACATAGCGATTCCACACAAATAAAATAAAACGAGTTTAAATTACTTTGGCTCAAAATAATATTCTTTATTTAATTGTAATGACGTTTAATTATAATAAAATACTCTGAAAAATGGTCTGTAATGGTCTGTTGTAACACCAACACTGACTACTACGTGTGCGAGCCCCGCATACGAGCTGGTCGCCCGTTCAAAAAGGGTTTATTCAGCAGATTCCTTAGACCAGTCGTATGGAGAATGGAGTCCTACTCGCCTGTGTCACACACGTATCAGTTTACAATATTATTACATTTATACTACAAGAACTATAGAATAATATAACTAATAGTAATCAGTTGTTCTTAACAATACTATAACGGTTCTGTATAACGTGTTTCAGGTGATCGGTCAGAAGCGGTGACGTTTGTTTCCACACACAACATGGATTTACTACCGATGTTCTAAGCTGTTTCACTGTTTTTTTTTTTTTTTTTAATAAAAATCAAACCATAATACTATCCGTTGTTTTGTCCTTGGTATTCATTAGGGTGTTCCTTAGTTATAGATGATGGGAAAAAAATATCATAAATTGTTTGGTATAAAAATGAACTACAAAAAGTTTTGGTTCGATCAGATAAGGTTAACCTGTGCCGACTTGTGATTTCAGTTTGAACTTACTACTTTTTTCAATATTTACGAAAATTTTTAACATTTTCATAAATATTTCGTTAACCTTTAGAAATATCGATATTTTTAATATTACATATTTTTAAGTAAATTAAATTTTCTATAACTTTTATTTTATTAAATTTTTTCATATCTCCAACGGTTCGTGAAGTATTTCGAGTTGACTCCAAAAAAACACAATTTAGGTATTTTTTCATAATTATGAATTATTGTGCGGGCTAAAATAATTGTTACAAAACTCCCATATGAAATTTTCTATTAAGTTATTTTATGTATTTTTGCCTTCATATTATCGCTGGTAATATAACAATCACAATACAAGTATAATGTTCACAATAATAATGTATTAATCTAATCTCTTTCACCTAATTATTTCTCTATATTTCCGTACCACGATTTAAGATAGTATGGTTGCCCATCGACTTGTGATAAGAAAGCCAGTACAGTGAATCTCACTTTTTTTAATATAGCAGCGCTCCAAGTGAGCAAAATAGTGTCGTTAACTCGTAATTTGCGCGACTGTTTAAATCATACGGAACACAATCACAATTCACAAATAATAAAGTTAACAAAAATTTTTAATAATAATAATATATTAGTGTACCTATAATTAACATATTATTATATATCTATGTGGTCACTAATTTCGACAATTTCTTTTTAGTGGTGTTTAGTTTTTTATTATTTTGATTTTGAATGTATGTGTATTGTCTCATTCTCATTATAAGGTAATGTGTATAAATATCGGATAATACAGTTTGTTTGTGTTCTTCACAATCAAATCTAAAAGAAATTTTCTTTTTTAAAAAATCTTCAAATGCCTCTTCAAATACATTTTGAGAGTCTTTAAATTTAGTGAAGGACAATTCAAGAGATTTTATTATTCTGAATAGATTGCTGTTAGGATGAGATAGATATCCCCTACTTTTAGCCATTACTAAATCTGCATTAGTACCGTAAGCTGTCGTATTCAGATTTTTGAAACTAGATGCACATACTTGGCATTTAGTCTTTGCAGTTAATCGCTTGGCCATATATCTAAAAAATTAAACTAAATATTAGTACTATGTTAATAAATAACTATTTATTTAAAGTTTGTTTTTTACTTATATAAAAACATACCCTGCTAAATAATATACTATACAGTCAAAAACAGTAGAATCAGAATAATCGTGTTCTTGAAAAATTTCATCGACATCCCAATATCCTTCATCTGAAATAGTATTCAATTTTTCTTTTAGCTTCTCAATTTTTTCTTCTCTTATTGAAGTGTTTGCAGGGTCTTTAGAAATCTGTTTTAAATCTGCTATTGTTATTATAGGAGCATTATCTAAAAATATTTATATTTATATAATAGGTACAATGTAATTACATACATATATTATTATATTAGTCTATTTAATTAGTTTTTATTTTGAATTTTGATAAAATTTACCTTCAAATATCATACAATTACCGCTTTTAGGGGGCTTAATCAATGAAAATACTGAAAGCATTCTATAAAGTTGGAGGAAAGAAGGACAAGAAGGATGGTCGTTTGGACCAGCCACTTGTCGTACAATTCCAAAAAATTTCTGTAAAATAAATATTAGTTTTAATGAAAACATTATTTAGAATGAAGATTATGTAAGTATGCCCATTATATTTTTTTTAAAATTTTAATTATATTTACTTCCAAACAATCTTGGTTAAATTTAGATGTCAATACATATGCAAAATTTTTGTCATTCAGTAGATAATTAACTACATCTAGTGTAGATTTTAAAGTGATTTTTAAACCATCGACAGTGTTTGAAGTTAAAAAATCATTTTTTCCAATATAATTATTATTTAAATTTGATTCCCAACTGTTTATCCAATCTAATGCTTCTTTCAACACCTATTAATTAAAATATTAAATATTATATACAATAATTTTGAATATATTTTAGTAAACATTTAATTTCAAAAAAATAGCACAACTACTATAAATTAGGGACCCATTATCAAGTGTTGGTCCTAAACTTCATACAAATTAATACCAATACCATACTTTAGTTAGCAACATAATATAACATAACAATTAAGTGGTACTTAGGTAGGTACCTAAGGTGCCTACCTATGTACTACACATGAATCACAACACAAACACAGTACACAACATATAAAAAACCTCTAAGTCTCTGCTATATCAAATGATAATTAATAAGACGTTTAGACTGTTTAAAGTATTATTATATTTATATAATATCAGTTCTGCCATCTGAGTATAATTCAAGTATACAATTTTAGGCGGTAAAAGTAGTCTGCATAGTCTTAATTTTCTCCGCTAAAAGCGCTATAGTATTAAAAACAGCTGATTGGTAGATTCATATTGACGGTCGTCGGATAAGCCATTTTACTGTAGTCGATGGGCAACCATACTATCTTAAATCGTG